TGCCTGCGTTAATGAAGTCCAAACAAAAATTTTGTTCAATAACTGCGAAGACAAAACACTCAAACATAACTTAGTCTTTTTTTTACAATAATCTGAACACAATTGGGTCATCGTTTAATTTCATCACTATTTGAATACACTGAGTAAAAACAGAAATCACACAGGCTAAGATGCTTGCCCCGCACACAACAGCTAGATAATGAAGTTCCAGTTTTGATCAGCCAGTTAATTTAACTCAATAGAAGGCATACTTATCGCGCACATAAGAGAATGTAATAAATGTATACCTAAAAGTATAATCTAAAACACTACAAAAATAATACCATCATCATCAATGACCAAAAAACTTCCTTGAGATCAATCCATTATTAATCAAAAAACGCGCGATCCCATCACGAGCACATAATCATGAAACATGAAACGTAAAAACAACGTAACGCTCGTATAAATTAAACGATACTGCAACTGAGGAGAAAATAACACATGATTCATGCGCTTGCATCGGGCATTTCTGCGTCCTGCACTTCAGCCTTCGACTGCACCGGCATTTCCTCGATTTCTTCTGCTTTCTCAGCTGTGGAAGCAACTGCAGAGACCGAGCAATCCATGGGCTCATCTTCTGCTGTGCCCCCATTCGTCTCGTCCTTCATTTCCACACTCTCAACAGCCACATCTTCTGAAAAGGTCATGTCTGCAGAAATGAACAGCCACCCACACAAATCTGAATAACAAGGATGTCACTCGACTGTTCTGTAAGAAGTTTTATCTGGTTTACGATAAATTTGGTTTTACCACCCTTCATCCATTCTGATGAATAGAAAGGTGAAATTACCTTTTTGCTCCTCCTTTTTGGTGTTTTTCTCTTGCTCCTTTTCTTTCTTAATTTTTTCGCCTTCTTCTTGAACACGTTCTTTTTTCACTTCGCTGGATGTATCGTTCACGGAGAGCCTTGATAACGCAGCAAATTTGGGTTGAATTCCAGCAAGCTGTTGTCCCAGTGTGGGCGTCACAAATGGACCAGGCGGAGGTAATGGACTTTTACCTGATGCAGCTTCTGGATCGCGCGTCGTCAACCGGCTTAATATACTAAAAAAAAAGAAAAAATTATTGGGTGAATAAAATGCCAGAAACACTCAATGTAGGTCAAAGAGAATTAAGAACATACGCCCTCTCGGTCATGCCCAAACGCTCCGTTACCGGTCGCAGTCGAGCGAGAGTTGCAGGCAGCCGTGATACATCTGCCTTCATATCCGACAGTAACTCCTCCAGTTGGTTCAGAACCTAAAATTAATCACATTATCCTCAGATGATTCCCCGAAATGCTTATGCAGTGCGAAACAATATTCAACTAACTCACACGAGGCTCGGACGAACCTCTAAATGCTATACGTTAAATACAACCTTTTGTCAAGGATTTCCTATCTGCCACACAAAGGAATCCTCTATAAAATCAAAAGTCGTGAACTACAGCTAATGTGCAAAGAAAACAACAACCTTATGCAGTACAACAGTTGCGTTTTTGTTGCCCTGGGAGCTTTCTTTGGAGAGATGCTGGTGGCTTTCCGCCAAGCTTTCGATATCCGCAAAACGCTCATTCAGCTGCTGTGTGCCATCTGCATTGGTCTGAGATAAATTCAGGTAAGCTGCTCGCCGCAATTGTTCCTCAATCACAAGCGCCTGTTCCAAAAGCTGAAATGCAAAACAGCATGTTACCAGCTGATTAACACCAAACGGGAATGCATAGAGAAGGAATGTATTAGCTCAACCCTCGTCACACCAAATCTCTGAAACAGAACAGTGCACAAGTCAAAGCTGCAGTCCTCTTGGCCTTCTGAATATCTTTATTTGCACATGCAAGAGCACACAAAAAAATTCGACAACCTCTGCTCGAAACCTGTACAGCAACTCTCCACTAGCTTTGTCCTTTCGAGTCGAAACAATCAAAACCAATAGTCCCTAAATTGAACAGAGCGCGCGTTTCCTTCTCAACGCCTGATTCAATCTCAATGACTAATATCGCTCGCTGTACAAAAGGAGGGAGGAGGCAAAAAACCGTCTCGTTAGCTCAGCTGGCGGTTTGAAGTGGCATTTTGAGAAAACCTCAATAGCGGCAATGGATTTCAAAACAGCTCATAAATACCTTGTATCGGCGCTGCAAGAACTTATTTTTTATTTCTAGGAAATTGCCTTTCCCCTGCTCCGAAACAAAAGGTTCATTGATAATAGCGAAGCGGGGATCATTCTGCAAATCCTGATATCGGCCATAGCCATATCTGAAACTCTTTCAGAAATGTAGATTTCGCAGTCCTAATGAAAAAAAAAGTACAATTTCGTTCGACAAACTATTATCACGGCAGCAAAACTCACATATTATGACTTCCAGTAACTTTTCTTTCACTACGGCCTACCAGATAATGAAATAATCATAACCGTTCAGTTTACGCCTGGCTGGTAAGGTCCTACTTATGATTATGATACTTGCTTTGATTCCTAAAGAGATTACCAGACAAATAGTTTCCCTAATGGAAAGCTTTAGCCGAGTCGAAATGTCCTTGATTTGTGTTGAAAATCAATCTCTCGTTGCGAACTTAGCTAACATATTTACGACCCCCTCCTAGTCGGTAGGACACCCCGTCGTCCTCTCGCAGTGGAAATCATCCACGGCGCGACGATGTTCAGCAAATACCAAGGACGTCTGGGAACAGCCAAAGCCTGGCAGGTGCTTCTGTTGAAAGAATCGCTGAGTCCGTTATCCCTCGAAAAGATAAAGAGCACGTAAAAATTGCCAAAAAACCGGCCACTGAGCGATGTAGTCATGATCAAAATAATTGAAAAAGTTTCTGCAGTTAGAGAACCGGCTGTACATATATACTGGCTTTTTTGCTCAGCACAGTTGCACGAATCTAAGCAACACTGTACTATAACAGAACAATGCCTCTACATGCATGATCAAGGCGACATCTTTCTCAGTCTCTAAAAGCTCACATCCGTCGTTCAGTTTAAAAAAGATTTGTTGAATGAAATGGTCTAAGACGTACGTGATTATTCCGACCAAAAGCCAATAATCGTGTCGACGGTGCCATATTTCAAATTCGTTGCCAGGCACGGCAGCTTTTTCCTCATTCAACCAAAGCGTATGCAACTCCGTAAAACCACCATCGGCAATATTGAATTTGAAAGAGGGCCGTGGACCCTTCGATCTGATCACTTTTGTTGATTCGCTTTCTTTTTTTACAGGCCGTGCTCCCTCGTCATCGCGCTTCGCATCGCCCACCTGAAATGTTACTATTCACAAAAACAACCACAGAAAAACGAAATTTTAATGATAAAAAAGTGTGTGCATGTGCCTCAGATTCGCCTTTACGTAAATCATGCAATGAAGGATTTGTGTCACTGCGCCTTTGCGCACCACTCACGCTCTCCGAGTGGCATGCCAACTAGCAGTGTGTGATGATCTCTCAAAGTTGAGATCTGCCTTCTCGAAACACTCTGAGAAGAGGCAGACTGAAAAATAACTTTGAACGCTTATGTCATAGATGTCAGGATCATACCCGACTGTTTTGTACATCATTGGCACCAGCAGAAACAAAAAAAAAAATATCGAAGCCATACTTTTGAATCGGCGTTTTCGCCTGATGAAACAGCACCTTCTTTCAAACCGGGTGTATTACTTCGACTTGATGTTTTTGAGCCAGCCTTACTTAAATAGCCCTCCCTTTCTCCATCCAGTGTCTGCGCCATTGTTTCGCGCACTTCTGGCATCGACCATTCCCCATTACAAGCTTCGAATTCCTAAATATCTCGCAATAAATTAGGTGAAATAAAAATTAAAAACAGAATTAAGGACCAAAACAGGAATGAAGAAGAGCATTGTTTACAGTCTATCCGGACAGAAGACTGTGTGAAAGAGAAACGAAACACTCGGAGACTCAGCATGTGGAGATGCCGGAGAAGTACACTAATTTAACAGCAACACGTGTCCGTCTTAAAATGT